TATGTGAAGTTATCTAGCTTTACAATAATATATTCGAAGTTTTATCGAGACCACTGTAAATGAATGTGCTGCTTTCAATTAATAATTTATGTAAAATAGGGTACGCCAAATGTTAAACCAAGTTAAACTGAAATGATAAATTATTCTAAACTGTAGCATCTATTATAATCTATTATATTACTTACACAACATAATATAAAAAACTGTGAAAGAAATTACAATTTTCACATGTGGTTCAATGAACTATGTTTCATTCATGGAAAAGTATTGCTTACAGCTAGTTCGTGTAGATGATATCTCCACACTGGTATCGTAAAGTCAATGCTACTAGCTACTATTTACTTTTTACTACATTTACATAACAGACACATTTAAAGTAACCATTGTGGAAAGTAACTTTCAATTATAGGCCTACCTTCGGGCTATACCTCATAGATCTATAAAGCATTTTTTAGCTTAATCATTGGATTTAACATATGGACCAACACGATCCGGGTGACATTTAAGGTAAATGCACCAGTAGCTGACAGTTTGAGTTTCTTTACATTGTAATGTGGTCTCTTAAAAATATGTACACATGATTGCATTGTTAGAAGAACATATGTTTATTCTTGATTTGTTTACATACAAATCAGTGAAATTTAGCCCATACTCGCTGAACGGTGGTGGTTTGAAAGCGACCCTGTCTGTACACATCACATTTAGTCGATTCCCTTAATAAAATTGTTAAGAAGATAAGTTTGGTTTTTTGTCATTTCGCTAAATTTCCTAAATAGTATTAAAGATGAGGCTCATTATTTTTATCAATTATACCTTTGTTGACAATTTCATGATAAAATTGGGGTGTTAGGGGTTTTGGATTTAAAATTATATCAATGTCAGGCTTTGGTACACAAAAGCCATACAAGTTCCACTAGCTGACAGGGGATATTTGCTACTTGCACAATATTAAATTGGTTTTACCCATCGAAATTTGCATGCTATTTCACACATTTTAATTTTTAATTAATAAGCCAAATTATCTTTAAAAATTTATATTTTTAAATATATATAAAATATATATATATTTTTAATGTTAATATTTTTATTTTAAAACATGTAAAATAAATGTAACGTTTTACATGATTTTATAATTTAACTAGCTGACCCGTCGAACTTCGTATCGCCTAAGTTATAGGTTTCCCCTAAGACAGACCGATGGAAAGAAAGTACCGTTACGTTTAATTTTCAAGATTATCTCGTTCGCATCGCTCAATCACGTCCTGGTTGAAGTTCGTTCGCTACGCTCACTCACCTTTGGGTTGGAGCTCGTTCGCTACGCTCACTCACCTTTAGGTTGGAGCTCGTTCGCTGCGCTCACTTGCCTTCAGGTTAGCTCGTTCGCTACGCTAACTCGCCTCCAGATTGAAGTTCGTTCGCTACGCTCACTCACCTTTGGGTTGGAGCTCGTTCGCTACGCTCACTCACCTTTAGGTTGGAGCTCGTTCGCTGCGCTCACTTGCCTTCAGGTTAGCTCGTTCGCTACGCTAACTCGCCTCCAGGTTGAAGTTCGTTCGCTACGCTCACTCACCTTTTGGTTGCAAATTAGCTGTTGTCATAAATGTAAAAGAAATAATAGTGCTGCACCCTGTTGGTAATCCTTGTAACTTTAATGCTATTGAACATCATAGAACAGAACCAACTTGTTTAATTGAAACAGCTGTTAAGATTCATTAATTCCATTTCTCATAAGGTTAACATGGGAAACTCCAGAGCCACTGGGGCGGAGCCCTTTTAAGAATTTCGAAACGGGAAATAGTTTACGTCCGATTCGCATACCTACAGAATTTACACACCAAATTTCATAACGATCGGTGAAGTCGTTCCGGAGGAGTTTGCAGACAAACACTGTGACACGAGAATTTTATATATTAGAAGATTATTAAGTTAGATTTTATTCGTCTTAGAAATTATAAAACCCTTAGGTTTAGCAGCTATATAGCATATAGTACATTTATAGTTACAGTGTCAGCTACTGGGACAACTGACAGTCAGCTACTAACTGGTTCAAGCACTTTTTTCACTGTCAGCCACTGGAACACGTACAAAGGTTGAATTAAGTTGAAAAATGTTATAAAATATTTTTTTTAAACCCCCTTTTTGTATGACAAATTTGAAAACTACACTAAATTTAGAATCACATAAAATCCGTAATATCTCTTTAGTTCCTATTTATTCAAAACCACGGAATATTAAGTGCGTATAGTTTCTTATACTGTCAGCTAATGGTGCGTTTACCTTATCTGAAAATACGCAAACCAACTGCTGTTCTTAATGTAAGAAGGTTTCAGCTGACTACGATATAAGATCCCCGTGTGTAGAACGGGCACACAGCTAGTAATTAATACGCCAACACTAAATTTGTCCTTTGAACTCCTCCGCCATTTTTAAACACAATAACCTATCCCAGTCCCTGAAGTTGGAATCAAACCATTCAAAGTTTAGGAAACGTTTAAAAAATGATCTCATTAGCTTCTCATGTTACAGTGTCAAGGAGTTTTTTTCAACCTGTAATAAAGAATGATAAGCTCAATTAGTTTTTGTAAATAGATGGTAAGCATATTTGTAAATATTATTTGTAAGCCTTGAGTTGTACTTTTTTTCTGACTTAGCTAATGCAAGAAATTGTTTGTAAATTTTAGCTGAATAAACGGATTTGAATTTGAATTTGAAACCCGATTTTGACCATTCTCGTCTCATTGGAAAGAGCGTGTCGCGTAGATTTGCAAACTGACCTTACATTTTTGAACAAGTCCCTTGGGCTCTTCCCCAATGGCTTTTGAAGTTCCTAAGTTATCCTTGAAGAATATATTCGTTTATATTATGATCAGCTGAATAATTTAATCGCTGTTGATATTTATTTTGCAAATCAAGGAAACGCATGTTTTCCAAAATTTAATTATTTGGTTGAAATTTTACTATTTAAATTTAACTATTTAACTATTTGAATATACAACATCAGGTCTTTAAACTTTGCATTTTCCCAGGGAAGGGAGGGTGGCCAAATTATTAGACTAGACGTATGTACTGTAATTTAATGCATTTTTTTTGTTAGAAAACATGTATAAACTAAAATAAAACTGCCTAATTTGGTGTGGACTACAGTGTAAAATCAATTTATATTATGCTTGAATGGTTTTGTTTTGTTTTTGTATTGATTCTGATGGTATTGGCAGCATTGAATCAGCTGTTGTTTCTTTTACAGTAAAAGAAACAACAGCTGATTCAATGCTGCAAATGACATCAGAATCAATACAAAAACATTCAAGCATAATATAAATTGATTTTATACTGTAGTCCATACCAAATTAGGCAGTTTTATTTTAGTTTATACATGTTTTCCAACCAAATTCAAAGTTAAGTCAAAAATGCATTAAACTACAGTACATACGTCTAGTCTAATAATTTGGCCACCCTCTGTAAATATAATTTACGTTATTACAGCAACTAACCAAAATGCAGGCTATGCAGGAAATCAAATGTTATCGCTATTTAAAAAGTAACTGAAATTTGTAAACGTACTGGCGACAATGGGTGGCCATGCAGGCTACATTATCAATGACGAAGATAAACATGGACAACCTAATGCGGCTATGAGTGGGACACGTTTTTGGAAATGCTAAAAAACGAGATAAGCATTTGAAAAATGTTAAATATTTACAAAAAATTTGATTATATTGAACTGTTATGAACATCGTGAGTACCTATTTCGATTAGTTACATAATCTTTGAGCTGATTCTTTTAAACTGATTGAAAATTATGACTGTTATTCGTTTTCAATCAACTCCTGTTAACTTTGCAATTGTTCGATTTCGAGCAACATGTACACTAGTACTGTATTATATTGGAAGAAATTGCAACAAGTACTCCGTAAAGTTGTGTTTATGGCCTCGATCGTTTCTCAAAGAACTCTAGTTGTACATTCATATGTGATATAATCTTCTACGTGTATATTGCTGATAATGTCATATGATATTTTCAATCTTGACTAATATATCAGTAATCATGGTTATTCTTTGAATGTACATTGAACAATAATTACACATCAACTTAAGTAGATGCAAAACTTGCCCAGATAAAAGCGTAAACTCTCTAAATACATGTATTATCGTTACTTTATGCGATTTATGCTTAGCCTTGACATAGTTCGTTCAACTTAGTTGAAAAAAGTGGGCAAATTGATACGCCCAGTAGGCTACTGGGCCACTTCGTGTCATGGAAGTGTCATTAGATTGATTACATATGATAACAGATTATCCTTATATTTTCACCAGTTGCTTTGGTCATAGAAAGAAAGGGGTATGTATAAAATAATTGCGGTATGAATAAGAGATATAGGGGATGGTTACTTACTGCCTCAGCGAAAGGGACCAGGAGGCATACGATTATACTTTAAACCCCCTGGCATAACAAATAATCACCTCAATTAAGGGCTTAGAAAAATGCCTTCAATGATTTTGCAACCAAGCTACAAGCATACATATTTTGTTTATTTGTTAAAGCAAGGAGTTTTTTTACATTAGTTCCAGTTCAACTTCAAAATTTTCTCTTTTATTGTTTTTTCTGTAGGGTCTCAATTTGTACACTAGTGAATGCAAAATAAAATCATAATAGGTGATAAGTGTCTATTTTGTCTAAGAATGGTCATTGTTTTGAAAGTGTTGAAGTGTCTGGATTATAAACCACAATTAATACAGTTTTTATTGATCTATTATTCGTTGAATATTCTACTTTACTATTTTTGTTTCTTTATGAATTACATTTCACAACGCCTTCTTTAATTTTCTTTCATTTTTTTCGATTTCAAAATTTAACATATTCCTATTGTACATAAATTATGAAACCATAAAAATGTGCGACTACACACCACACAAAGGACCTGGTAGGTGTTGGGGAGGGGAGGGGGGGGGAACTGCTATCTCATTGGTCCACACAACAATGAGTCTGGGTGTCGGTCAGTGGGAAAGTCAAAGTCTTCACTTCTTCACTTTCGCTTTCAGCAGCGACCGGGAGCAGACGTGCGCGACCGCATAGGATTTTGTACCACCTTGGCTGAAGGTAAACACCTACTGTAATCCATTTCAAAATAATTAGCTTTGAAAATCAGTTTTAAATTATGAGTTTTTTGTAACGGGACTTAGTTCTCTTATATACTTCATGATGTTCTAGTGTGCTCAAAAAGTGTGTAATCAAGGTTCCACTGTAATTGAAATTATAACGGCAAATAATGGTTAAACATATATGGTCAGACAATCTATCACAAGTTGTTTAATTTAAAACTACTGTACTGCATTAGTGTCGGCGGTTTTTAAAACTTCGCCATCATCAGGCTAACAAAAGGATCCTTTTCATGACGTGTCGTTAGAATAAGTTATACACGACCAGGTCTGTTTAACCATTATTTGTTATAAAACGCAATCCTGGTCAATTAAAATGAGTTGTAAATATTATAACACCTAGTACATAGTCAAATGTGCAGACTAAAAAGTGTTACACGTATAATGTGGAATGTGGACAATGGACATTTAACATAATTTAATTCAACTGTTCAGTAAACATTGGATAGTTTATAGACAAAACTGTTCATATCGAGACGGCAACACAATCTATGCCGTTAATTATAAAAAAATAGCTTATTTAATGCTACTACAAACCTTCTATTAATAATGATTATAGAATTGCATATCCTAAAATATTGCATATTCAATGGATAAAACAATTATGAAGGTAAAATTATTGCATAATTAGATTATGAAAATTACAGTAATTAAATCGTCCTACCCACGCATGTATTTCTCAGGAAGCTTTCGCTAGCGTTAAATCGGTTTTTCGTAATCACAAACTGAATATGATTAAAATTACAAATTGTACAATTTGTAACTTAATTTAACTTATTTTTTGAAAAGTTGGTGGTTTTGATGATGTCCCCGTAGAACCCGCAATGCGAGGGCCCCTGGTTGGTTAAAAAATGAAAAAAGTTCAAAGTTGGACAGTTTATAAAGTTTCCAAGTTAGACCTAAAAAAATGTATTGTAGCTGAGCGCTCAACAGATTGTGTTGTGTTATTGTGATATCTCATTGAGGAATATCCCTTACTATGTCGGTGTCAGTTGCATTGTGTACGATACGTTATAAACTATGACAGTAGAAATTGAATGAGTACACTGAATATTTACTGTAAATAAAATAAAATTGAATAACTATAATTTTACAGTTAGTCTGCCAATTTTTCGGCGTTTGGGTGAAGCAGATTGTTCAAATGACCGAGAAAAAATATAAGGTTCGGAAGACGTAAAAAACAAATAATACCCCCGCCGCAGCAAACCTGCAGACTAAGCGAATTTCCATTTGACTGATTGGATTTACACTGAAATGTCTACTTAAAAATATAACATTTATTCTTGATTTAAATAGAATTAGTTTAACAAGTACTTAGGTTTGCTGCATCAGGGAGGGTAAAACTGTTTTTTTTGTGTAAAATGTGAATAGTTAGTAAGAAATGAAAACATTTTCCAAATTTGATCAAAATATGTTCACAAACAAGAAAACTACAACAGTTTACTTATTCTCAATAAGAATAACATGGGAATTTTAAAATTACAATTTTTTTGAATTTTCTCCGTAACCATTAGGCGCATAATAACGCTTCAATATACTAAATTATTTGTTTTTTTAAGCTCTACAAAATGTTTTGGAAAGAAATTGCTAAATTTTATGTTTTTTGGGTAAAAAATGAGAAAACCCTATTTTTACCCCATAAAACCCCCCGTAAACCCCCGTTCCCATGGTCCGATCATAATGGATCGCGAACTCGTTCGAATAAACGTACGTTTACACGTTTGTACCAAATTTCATCAAAATCGGATCATTTTTGCTCGAGTTATCGTGCTGACGGACACACATATATATATATATATATATATATAAATATATATATATATATGAATTTGAACGGATGGTGTTTTAGGCCTCTAGGGACCTCAAAACGAAAAAAAAAATCGGTCCCGCGTCCAGGTCTTACCATGAGTACTACGGTAATAGCTTATTCCCTATATGGGAAATTCGCTAAAATGTAAGAATAAGGCATATAATGGGGTAGAATAAGGAAGAAACTAGTCAGGTTTGCCCCCATTTTACAACTAAAAATCTTAATATATAAGCTATTTCTTATTAGATCTTTTTTTTGGAACTTGGTATCGTTTGATAGGGAATTAAAAATGCTACATAAAAGTGTTCAAGACGTTTTTCATAAAATCAGCAGTTTTTTAGTAATTTAAGTTTAAAAAACTAAAATGGCCGCCATTTTGAAATTTTAATTTGAATCAAGATTATTTTTTTTACATGGGTCTCTTCTACCTTAACATTCATACCAAGTTTTATAAAGATTGGTTGAAAAAGTACTGTACAAAGATAAAAATGTTTATGTAAAAAATACAAAATGGTGGATATCTGGTTAACAAAGAGATTTTGAAAAAAAATGTTATACGTGATTTTCTCTTTATTTTCACCCAAGGAATCGCCAGGTAAAATATGTCTCCAGCTTTTTTGAACACCCTGTATATGCCTATGGATCTATTACACATAAGAGTGAATAATAAATTGGATATCAACCTACCATAAATTTAACATGCTCCCTCAGTCTATGTCAATATTTTACACATTTCATATACAGGGTGTCCCGTAACTCTCTGGACACATGTATATAGCGTTATTGCTTTCAAGACAAATACATTTTACCATAGGTCTGTGGTGCCTAGTTTTCCGTCTGTCTGTATTTATGTGTTTTTTTACAAAAAAAAAATAATAATAACTACTAAACTGTTTGAGATACAGCGTTGAGATTTTTCAAAAATGGCTATCTTATTAAGACCAATCTCTGTTTAAAATTGATTGGATAAATAATAACAGAGAAATGTCTTCTTTTCCAAATGCATGACCACTTTTTCTCCATTTAAACAATGCTAATACTCCTTTCACATTGTCTAAATATCTTTACAATAATCTTTTATACGTCAATCAGGTGTTTTAAAACATAACAGCTGATTCAATAATTTGTTTTTGTTATTTATAAGTATAACTTGTTGTTCGTGATAAGTAAAGAATCTTCCTTGTTGTAAGTAAAGGAGGCCTCTTGTAGATAAAAAAGTACCATAAGGTATTGTTCAATTGTATTTAATAATTACAAAAAATTTTAACATTATCAACATTTTTTCAATTTATTTAAAGAAAGAATTATGTTACTTATAACAAACAACAAGTTATAGGCCTACTTATAAATAACAAAAACAAATTATTGAATCAGCTGTTGTGTTTTAAAACACCTGATTGACGTATAACAGATTATTGTAAAGATATTTAGACAATGTCAAAAGGAGTATTAGCATTGTTTAAATAGAGAAAAAGTGGTCAAGCATTTGGAAAAGAAGATATTTTTCTCTGTTATTATTTATCCAATCTTAACAAATAAGGTATCATTGAAAACTACATAAAATTTACTTGCAATTTGTTTGTAAAGTTAACGGTTTTCGTGAAATTTTGCATAAAATATTTTAAATGGCTGCCATTTTTAAACGGTTAATGATTGTTTAGTATGATTTTAAACTAAGATTGTTCTTAATAAGATAGACATTTTTTTAAACCTCAACGATGTATTTCAAACCGTTTAGTAGTTATTAGTTTAAAAAAAAAAAAAAAAAAAACACATAAATACAGACAGACGGAAACCTAGGCACCACAGACCCATGTTCCTATGTTGAAAATGTGTTTGTCTTGATCTAAGCAATAACGCTATATACATTGGTCCAGAGAGTTACGCGACGCTCTGTATATAGCATGATCCGATGTAACAAGATTGCCAAAAAGCTACAGCGTTATAAATCTATATATATAAAAGGCAAAGCCCTCACTGACTGACTGACTCACTCACTCACTCATCACTAATTCTCCCACTTCCCACTTACCTAGGAGGCTGAAATTTGGTACACTGATTATTTAGGCATTAAATAGGAAAACTAAGTGGTTTTTATTCTAATCGGACTTTCGGGCTCCGCCCCAGTGGCTCTGGAATTTCCCATGTTAACCTAATGAGTACTCATATTTAAATGGAGTTAATGAATCATAACAGCTGTTTCAATTAAACAAGTGGGTTCTGTTCTGTGATGTTCAATATAGCATTAAAGTTACAAGGATTACCAACAGAGTGCAGCACTATTATTTTTTTTTTTTATTTATGACAACAGCTAATTTGCAACCAAAAGGTGAGTGAGCGTAGCGAACGAACTTCAACTCGGAGGCGAGTTAGCGTAGCGAACGAGCTCCAACCGTAAAGGTGAGTAAGCGTAGCGAACGAACTTCAACCAGGACGTGTGAGCGCAGCGAACGAGCTCCAACCTAAAGGTGAGTGAGCGTAGCGAACGAACTTCAACCAGGGGCCCATTTCATAATAAAGTACAAACTAATATTATTAGTAAATCAGCTGATCGCCCAATGCAAATCTAATGGAAATTACAAGTTACAAGTTGTAACTTGTAACTTGTAGTTTATTATGAAATGGGCCCCAGGACGTGATTGAGCCATGCGAACGAGCTCACATATGAATTTAAACGGGGCAAAGCCCGCGGGTACAGCTTGTACTGTACTAATATAATTGAACATATAACATCAAGCTAGGCGTTAAAAAGGGTAAGCATAATTCAACATAGAATTATCGCAATTCCTTTTAAGATGCAATGAAAAGACAGATCAATGTGTTAGCTCAATAAAGTGATTTGGTTTGATCCTCCCTAGATTCTTAACACAATTAAGGACTGTTTCTTTGTTATGTAGGGCCCTAAAGTAAGTTGCGACCATATAGTTCTTGTTATTTCAGAAATTTATCGCTAAACTTTTCCCGCTAAATAAAGGTTTGAATTTTCATTAACTTGTCGTGGGTATTAAAAACATGAGAGTAAAACATAAAACGTAAAATCTGTTCTATAATAAGAGAAAAATGTTTATTTTACACTAGAGCATGTGAAATTCACCAAAAATAAATCCATCAAACAAAGCTTCAGATTTAAC